GGAAAAAAAAGGGGAGCAGCACACACGCTTGGGCAGCGTGCCCTTGCAGCACAGAGAACACCAGACTGTTTGCAGCGCCACATACCACACAACCATGTTCATCTCGATGTGCCCAGAAAGACCACAACAGGTCAGAGTGCTTTTAACACTACGTATTCATATGAGACATTTCTGCTTTACCTTGTCAATCATGTTTGCACACCTTTATAGTGCTAACACTGTGTGGTACCCTGGGGCACCCTTGAAAGGATCTCAAGGCATCTTAGGGTGCTGCAGCACTGTGGTTCAGAACCACTCCCCTAGGGGAGGGCATGTCTTGGCCACATTCCCAGTATAAGAGGCTTTGGAACAAAGGGTATATATACAGTGAAGTCCAGGGGTGCACTTACCATCTGTATTAGCATTCACAAGCTAGCTTTAACTTGGCTAGTTCAGGTTCAAATAGTGATGAAACCGTGTCAGTACAGCTATACAAGTCCACACAGGGATTCCGCTTACTCAGGCAGCTGGGCATGCTGGAGTCTATGATAAAGCATCTTCACTGCTATTGGTACCTAAGCTAGCTCACTTACATTGTACACAGGGTCATTTGAACTCCAGTCTCAGTATGCATGTACTCAGTGCTACCTGCCTCTGAAGATGAAGTTCTTGCATTGAAATATGCAGCGCACAAAAGACAAGATTGCTGTACATGCTTAAACTAATCATATATTGCAGTATGTTCAGGCTCAAAACCATTGTACAATATGTTGCTGTTTTGCATGATCAGTACATTTTTAAATGGTTATGAAAAATCAAAATATACCCCATACCAGTAGTGAAAATGAGTGAAACTACATAGGAAACAGGTGTTATCTGTTAGGCAGAAGCTGCACCAGAAACAATAATAGATAGTTCTGCCTGTTACTTAACAATAAAGAAAAAGAGAGAGTAAATGAATGAAAAGAAGGGAGACTGTTTTGTTTTTTGTTAAATGTTGAAACTATGTCAGACTAGATATATTTTTTCAGCCTCCAGGTGAAATATTCTTTAACAACTGCTCTTAATTTAATTTATAGAATGGTTATAATAATGTTTTGGAAAGTAGGTTAGTGAATGGTATATCCTCTAGTCCTTGAAGTCATGAATAATGGCTTCCTCAGTCTTTTCCAACTAAGTGTTAAGGTTATAATCCAAAACATTTTTATTTGGCCAAAATGTCCTACTGGGAAGACTTGCCCCAGGTCATAAAGTGAATTAGTGGCAGAACCAGGATTAAAGTCCAAGCTCCTACCCTAGGCTGGTAGCTGACAGATAGTAGATGTCCCACATGGTTTTTGATTTTTCCCATCTCTGCTTCAGGCTGTTTTCTGGTCTTCATCCACCAGTCGCTTTACATCCCTGTCCTGACATTCAGATGTGAGAGTCAG